GCTCACATATTAGCTGGGATGGTTTTGAAACTCTTGTCTTAATGTGTTTTTCATTAAAGCAGTTTTATCATGACACCTTATATTGTGTTTTCTTGGAACAATCTGGCTTTAGTCCAAGTTTTTCCTCAGATAAGATACTTGGAAAAGGTCTTATGGCGGTTTTTGACACTTAAACTTAAAACATAACTTATTAATCCATCCTGTGTAATATGCCTTTCTCTTTTTACACGTACACAGAAGCAAATATTCATCTCGATCGTTAATAGGCTAATGCTAATAAAACTGCTTTACTGTGCAAGGCAGTTCCCTGAGCTGAGAGAAAACGATAATGCAGGCTAATAATATTGATCTATAAATGAGTCTGCGGCGGTGCACTAACCTGAGGGGGATATTCAGGGTTTTATTTTGAAAATTTCAGTAAGCATCATTTTAAAGGACCAAACTAATCCCATGTGTAACAGTGATCTTCATTCAAGTTTGTTGAATGATGATCATTCAACAAACTTTGGGCATTATATAACTGGGTTAAATCAGTTATATAATGCCCAAAACACAAGTAGTTCTAAAGGCCAACTCAGTCCTCCTTTGTAGTAACTGACAGTTCCGCCATGTTGTAGTTCTTTCATTCAGTCATTGTAGTTCTAAAGAGCAGCTCAATTGTCATGTGAGTGAGACACACAGGGAGAGACAGAATTATAACTTTTTGAGGCAGTCACATTTTCTGAACAAAGCAGTCCAAACAACTTCTTCCCATTCAGGAACCGTAAGGCCGATCCAAAAACCCAGGGCCGTGCAGAGACCTTTGGAGGGGCAGGTGCTCAAAGTTAAAAAAGACCCCATTGAACAAGTTCTTAAAACACCGTACAACAACATAGCAACAACCCATATTAATCAAGAATTTAATTGGATCCTACTATATCATCAATATATTTTTAGTATATTTTCCCCAACAACTATAAATTTGCTGTTTCTGCTGCTGACAGTCCTAGAGGGCTGAGTTGATCTGAGACTGTAGATGTTAAACAGACCAGAGGAGAGAAGGTGAGTGTATGAAAAATATTTTGCCCATAATTTGATAGTTAGAGGCCCCCCTTCCTCCCCATGGACCTGGTGTCTCAACAACATGGAGGCAGAGAAACTAAGAGTCATTAGACTGTGGGCAACTAGACTAGTTTATTTTTGATAAATTATCATATTTAGCTAAATATTATTGCAAAGGGGCACAAGCAGGCCTCCTGACATACAGATAAAAAATAAATAAATTCTTTTGAAAAAAAAAAGCTCAAAAAGGGTACAGAGGCATCAAGGATAAAAGGTGCAGGGGCTCAAGCCCCCTAAAGCCCCCCCCCCCCCCATGTCTACCAGAATCATTTGAAGCATATGAGAGGTTATTTCTCCTCTCCAGTAATACCACTATTCATATCTGTAGCTCTCTCTGCACTAACCTGAGGGAAAAAGAGAACAAAGGGCTGAGAAGAATATTTAGGCTTTTATTTTGAAATTTTCTGCAAGCCATATTTTAAAGGGCTACACTAATCCTATGAGTAACAGTGTTTGGGTGAGCAGATTTCCAAGACTAAATCTGGGGACATTTCTCACTCGGCAATAAAGAAGAAGCAAATTTACCAAACTAAAATGAAGAAAGTGGGACAGATAAGTTTACATATTTATTAACATTTAAACATTAAAAATCAAATGTAAAAACAGGAACGTGTCTCTCCACACAGTGGTAATATTAATCTTAATAATAATAAAAGTAATAACAGCAATAGAAAATTAAAACTGAAAATATGGGGGAAATTTGTACATAGTTTGTAAGTGACCTTGCATATACAAGGTCACTTGTAAGTAAGTACAAGGTCACTTAGTGACCTTGCATATACAAGTGATAATAATAATAATAATAATAATAATAATAATAATAATAATAATAATAATAATAATAATAATAATAATAATAATAACAGAAAATGGAAATCAAAGGTCCTCGACAGCAACAGAAACTGAAGAAACTCAGAAGATCCGCTCGGCCTGTTCCGGTTCTTCAAGACTGAAGGTGTTCAGAGGTTCGTGAGGAGCCTTCAAGACCGCTGCTTTTGTGACAACTTCCTGTGTCCTGCACAGGAAGACAGTAACATAACTGACGGCTATGTTACCGTCAGTAACAGTAACATAGCATACCATTACTGATCAAAAAGCCCACAATGGTAACAGAAGAAACTTGAAACTGACAAAAGTAGTAACAAATTACTGACAAACTGATGAAAGTCAGACGCTGCTTTAAATTGTGGCTCAGTTAAAATGATGTCAGTCTGTGACCATAGAGCTGATGTACCTTTTGTCTCATCTCTCCCAGCACATTGGTGGTAAATTCCAGCCTCACTTTTTTATGATTTGCTTTCCTTCAAATGAAATCCACCTAGACTTTCTAGTTCACCTTTGCTTAGTGGACTTGGTTGTTTTGGACTTTTAGTAACCATTCATATCATAATTGTCTTGAATTTGTCCATTTTCTTCCTTAAGTTTCAGAATAATCTGTACAATTGTAGTCATCTTGGTCTATCATTTTCTTATTTTGCTGAACCTCAGTTCAAGATAATGTCAGATTTTTTATTGGTTAATTTTCAGTGAATTTTCATTTCTTACTTTTGTCAGTTTCAGGTTGTTTCAGTGACCACTGTGGGTTTTTTAGTCATTAACAGAAGGTACTAACAACTTTGTCCACCTGTAAATGTTGTGCCTGAATGGACATAAGTGTCCATAAATACATAAAGTTTGTGTGCAGCTGATATGTAAGGACATTATGTGTGTTTGAGGTGTGTGAACTCTGGTCAGGAAGTCCACCAACATGAGCTCATCTCTGGATCTGCAAACCCTCCTGGGTCTGTATATCAGAACACCTGATATACAAACTTCAAATGACTGAAGCATGTGGATTGTTTGATGCCCCAAACAATCCACATGCTTTATGGCTGTGATACGTATTTGAGCTTGTCTTGCGTAAAATTGTTGCTCCTGTGCACAAAACACAAAAACAGAAATAATGTGAGTCATAAAAATGTAATACTGAAAATTTGAAAACTAGTTTATGATTTTATTTGTAATGGCTCACCTTGAGACTCCAAAGCAAAGTTGGGCCACAGATCTACTTGTGGTAGAAGGTAGTCTAGCTTTGTCTCCATCAATTGCTGCCTGGAGAGATATCCCTCATCCTTCAACAACACAACCTCATCTTGAGATGCTTTATGGTTCTGATATGTTTCTGATGTTATCTTAGACCCCATCTGACCTTAAGTTCCTCACATTCTGGTACCTTGATGGAACCACAGTTAGCAGTCACAAGAGGGCCTTGGAGTACATTGAATTCTTTGACATTTATATCAGTGAGGAAGATAACTGACTGTTTATAGAGAGAAACTTCCTGCAAAATCGGACTTGGGATAACTTTGTCTCCTTGAAATACCTGATTCCTTTGGTAGTCCTTCATTGAAAACCTTGAATCGCTCTTAGTCTGATCCCTCCCCAATGGCAGCCTGCCTGGGAAGCCTCACTACTGGGTGAAGCCCAAGCCAAAACCTCCATCTGGGTCAACTCAAATAAACCCTCCACCACGTTAAGGTGCGATTCTGCGGAGGGGTCACCAGCAGATCGCGATGGATGTTTAATCCAAGGGATCTCCCATCCTGAGCAAGCGCAAGGCAACAGTGGAGAGGAAAACTCCCTTTAAAAGGAAGACACCTCCAGCAGAACCAGGCTCAGGATGAGCAGCCTTCTGCCGAGGCTGGCTGGCTTCAAGAGGGCAAAAATAATGAAAAAAAGAAAAACAAAAAACTCTCAGCAAACCTCTGAAAGAAGAAAGACAGATTTAGTTACAATATTAGTTTACATTACACATATTAAAAAAGAGAGATGTAGGAAAGTAGTTCTCAGTCTATTAGTCACAGAAAATAATGCCCAGACTGTTGCAGTTTATTGCCTGTAGCAGTAAATTACCTCTCACAGGAGTCAGTCCTGAAAGAATAACATTCACTGTTATCTACAAAGTGATGTTGCTGTGTTCCCATATCCTGGTCAAAATGTCTTACATTTTGATCAAGAAATAAATGTACTGTTTTCAGAGTTTAGTTTGTGTTTGAATATGTTAATCTTTTCAGACAGCTTATGTTAAATGTAACAGCAGTTTATGTAAAAGCTGTTATTACATAAACTGTAATGACAACAGTTTATGTTATGTTGTCAGTACTTTAATTTTAAATGGTGCAAAAAATAGGACTTAAATTCACAACATGGAATTGTCCAGGTTGCCAATCCATCCCAGTGCAACACACAGGAATATCAACCATGCAGCGCCAATTAACCTAACAGTCATGTTCTGACTGTGGGAGGACGCCGGAGTACCGGAGAGAACCCGCACATGGCACTTTTATTATGTCTGAACCTCTTTTCTGCAAGGCAACAATGCTACCAAGTGTACCATTGTGCAACCCTCATTCCCAATGCATTAGAACAAAGTCTACACTATTACAGTATAAATGGATGATGAGAATATACATCACCCCTGTAAAACTGAATAGTTTAACCCCATCATTCTAGATTTGTGTATACATGGTGGAGAAAGGGGCACTATTACATCGCTTGTGGCAATGCAACAAAACCACGGATTTTTGGGGGAGGTTAAACATGAGAATTATTTAAAAAGATGTGTTAATGGATCCTGCTCTATTTAGAGATAGACAGGACAATCAACCATGCAACACATACTCACACGTAAGTAGGCTTTGGATAGACCAATTAACCTAACAGTCATGTTCTTACTGTGGGAGGAAACCGGAGTACCCGGAGAAAACCCACACATGCTACTTTTATTATGTCTGTGGAAGGAAACCGGTGTAGCCGGAAAGAGACCCACGCATACTACTTTTATCATGTCTGAACCTCGTTTTTGTAAGGCAGCAGTGCTGCCAACTGTGCCATTGTGCAGCCCTCATTTCAGTCCATCAGAATAAAATCTATACTATTACAGTATAAAGGGACCATAATAATATATGTCACTACTGTAAAACATAATAGTAATTGGTTCCTGTTGTACCTGTGGGCCTTTGTGTATATGTGTATGGAAAAGAAAAAAATACATTCCCTTTGATATCTTTTATCCATTTTCTCCTTGTCCTCATCATTTGGCAAGTTCACCGTGAACTCTAAAGTTGTAAAGGCAGGTGTAATCCGGATGACCCCAGTTACTGTTCACATTTAGAGTCACGTAGTGGAATGTGTCAACTTTATCGGCCTGTAAACCAAGACAGATACAAATTAGGTTAGACTGATAATCCGTAGTTACAAATAGACAGACAATAAACACAAAGGAGGTCTGTCTTATGGAAGCCGAGTTCAACTGGCCTTGCTGCAAATATATTTTGCATAGTTTGTCTAAAGATAGCAAGGTAATTACACTGAGGTTTTACTAACCAGAAAGCAAAATGTTATGTAGTAACACTGGGATTTAATTGTTTGTTATACAGAGACAAGAAAAATGATTGTTTTGTGAAGTGTTGTCAAGCATAATTCACGTGATTATTATTAACTCAATTTAAAATGATTGTAAATAATTACAAAAGCTGAAGAGAAACATATTTAAATGTGAGGCATGATTTATTTGGGTAGAGGAAGTCTTTTATTTTGAAGAATGCTTAACAGAATCTGGTTCTGTATTTTGTCACGGTCTTACTTCTGTTGACTTTGGTTGCTAGGTAACAAACTGTTTGCTGTTATGAGCTGTTGCTGTTTTCTCCCCATTAAAACTGAACAAAAATGTTCAATAAAAGAAATCCGAGTCTCCGTCTTGATGGAAGAAGATTCCACACTGCAGCAATAAGATGTTGACTTTTTGTTTTTTGTTTTCAAGATAAATAAAAGTCTTATTAACGATTTATGCCAAGAGAAAAAATATTTTCCTCCCTAAGTGATGGCCAAAAAAAATCAACAGTTTTTTCTATCTGTTCACTTTGTATGTGTTTTGGAATAGTTATGGTTAAATAACAAAACTTTATGCAGGTGGGGAATGGTGGTTTATTTAGGCACTATTTCTAGCCAACATAATTCAATTCAATGCTATCTATCTGTTACAGTCTCTCTCAACAGCTCTGGAAGTGCAGAATTAACATAATTTTTATGGTTTAAATAGAAATTTTCATTGGAGCATTTTGAATGGAGTAATAGTACGGTACTTTATTTCAAGTACTTTGTATTTTAATTCAATGCTAGTAATACCCAGTAAAAAACCTTATGGTTGTATGTTCGGAAATATGATCAGCATTTATAACAGGGTCAGTCGATCTGGGCTTCTATGAAAACAGTATTGGTTTATAGAGCATTCATTTGACATATTTACAGGAAGTTTGAAGGTCTGTATTTGGTCGCCATCTTCATCATACAAGAAAGTTCCCAAATGAGTTTCCTCATCTTGCAAGTTCTCCTTTCCCTGAGACAAAATCAGACAGAAATGCAATTCATTATCTTGTTCTTTCTCGATATGTGGAAGTTATTTGGTGTATCTAAAAACATATCACATCCCGAGGTAAGCAGAAAATTAATTAGTGCAGAATGAAAGTTTACAGAGTTTAGAATGAGATCAAGTGATGTCATACTGAATCAATACATTTTAAATGTATACAATTTAAATGTACACTAAACATATACTATAGGTGGATGTTTTATAGTTTTGACACTCATTTTACGTGACTTACATAGACAGAAAATTCTCGAGGAGCACTAGAGACTGAGGAAGTCGGGGAAACGAACTTGGGAATATGACTCATTGACACATGAGTGACGGTGGTTTTGTGGGACAGTGCTATGGATAAACGTCCCGGTAAATCTGCAAAGGCCCAGCAGTGTCCTGGACTGAGATGAGATCTTCCCTGAAAACAGAGAACAAAACAAAGTTTAGGCGGGTTACCAAGACTTAGAGAAAAGAAAACTGTAAAGCCTAATATTATATCAACAAGAAACACCACTTTTCCTAATATTTATTTAATGATTTGAGTATCATTCAGACCTTAATAACGATTTCTGGGCCTATAGCAGGTAGCTTGATAGATACCCCAAACAATTCAAATTCTTTATAGGTGTGATATGTATCTGAGCTTGTCTTGCGTAAAATTGTTGCTCCTGTGCACAAAACACAAAAAGAAATAATGTGAGTCATAAAAATGTAATACTGAAAATTTGAAAACTAGTTTATGATTTTTTGTAATGGCTCACCTTGGGACTCCAAAGCAAAGTTGGGCCACAGATCTACTTGTGGCAGAAGGTAGTCTACCTTTGTCTCCATCAATTGCAGCCTGGAGAGATATCCCTCATCCTTACCTGCAAAGACTCTAACCTGTGCACAACATAGAAGTTAACAGCTTGTTCTTATGTTTGTTCATGATAATTAAATCAGCGTTAAGATTAGGAAGAGAAAGCCTACCATGTCAATTTCAGGTGGTGTCATCGATAACTTCGAGGGTCGTGAGTGGAGGGAAATATTCCACCAAATACAACCTGATGAACATGAGCAGAAGATGACAGTGAGACAACATTCAAAATGCAGTCTTTCTATAACACTTCAAATAGTCTACAAATTTGTAGAAGGAGAATATTTACCAAAAGCAGCAAAGATGAGAAATCCAAAGACAAAGGTGTGAAAGCAGCTTTGAATCAGCGTGTCTATTGTCTGGGTTGCTTGGTCTTCACGACAATGAATCCTCACTCTTAATATCATCTCCCTATTTGAAGGGTGGTTCACAGGGAAATATGCTGTGCGCCTCCGTCTGGGCCTAGATGGAAAATATGCAAGTGAGTTAAGATATACACGACTGCATAAAACATAAGAGTTAAAAAAATTGCTGATTTAATATACCTGACTGGCGTCTCCCTGTATGAGATAACAGGTTGGCCATACATGTCATAGTACCCATTGTTTTGCAAACGTTCACTTCGTCTTTGCATGACTAGAAAACAAAGACAGGGAAAGGTTATCCGTGTCTGGCACAAAGCATGTCCAAAATGTACAACACTCTACAGTAAGTTAATTTCAAAGTGAACATTGTAAATTAAATGATGTAATATATCAAAAACTTCATTTAATGTTTATCAATCATCATGATAAACACAAACATATTATATGAACTGAAATGAGGATTAAATCGATCATTTCATGTGTGAAAATCATAAACTATCTATCAAACTTGAAGGAAAAACAATTTTTTCCACGTAGAACTCCTTAATATTTTTTCTGCTGTTTCAATATTCAATGAAGTTTGCAAATATGAAAAAAAAACATGCTGAAAAACAAATGAGACATTTGATATTTACATCAAGAAGTTGCTAAAATGGTTTGATTAGAGCTAAAAACTGATTACTAACAACTTGTCTTCCTTAACCTATTTGCAGCATTGCTGCACACCTCCTTCAAAAATCTAGTACAAAATAACAATTTTTTTTCTTTGCCTCACTAACTTCTAAATACTTACTTGAAAAACCGAAGCTCAGTTCAACTAAATGAATTTCTTGAAGTAATATGTCTGACTCTTCTGACTCTAACTCTTCAAATGGATGAATTCCTGTAGGAACTCCTCTCTTATTGACAAAAGTTCCAAAAGCGCCTGATGACAAGTCATTCCATATGATATCACAATGTTCAACAGAACCTGCCCACAATTCATTTCTAGCTCTTTTAAATTCATTTCAAACAATTAAAAAAATAATGTCCATTCTGCTGTTGACTTGGTCAATCAAATCACTGCTCTCAACGAAATCAAGAAATGTTTACTCTCCTGCTGGCATTTACATACAGTTATTGCACAGTGTTTTAGATGTGTAGTTTTTAGCCACAGGTACAAAACACTGGAATGAAATGGCTTAATTACCTCCTCCTTGTTCTCCAGAGCCTTGCTAATGACCAAATTATTCTATTCAGGAGTGGTGCAGCAGAGGCACATCTAAAAGTTGCAGGACACCGGGCCTCGAGGACTGGAGTTAGACACATACGGCCTATTGCCTATAGCCTATAGCCAAAAGGCTATAGGCTATTGACAATAGGCTATTGTCTATAGCCTATTGCGTATAGCCTATAGCCTATAGCCCATTGCCTATTGCCTATTGCCTATAGCCTATTGCCTATTGCCTATAACCTATTGTCTATAGCCTATTGCCTAGAGCCTATAGCCTATAAACTATAGCCTATTGCCTATAGCCAATAGCCTATAGCCTAGAGCATACAGCCTATTGTCTATAACCTATAGCCTAATGCCTATAGCCTATAGCCTATAGCCTATAGCCTATAGCCTATAGCCTATAGCCTATAGCCTATTGCCTATAGCCTATAGCCTATAGCATATAGCCTATAGCCTATAACCTATAGCCTATAGCCTATTGCCTATAGCCTATAGCCTATAGCCTATAGCCTATAGCCTATAGCCTATTGCCTATAGCCTATTGCCTATAGCCTTCAGCCTATTGCCTATAGCCTATTGCCTATAGTCTATTGCCTTTGCCATTCACCTATAGCCTGTAGCCTATAGCCTATTGTCTATAGTATATAGCCTATAGCCCATAGCCTATAGCATATAGCCTATAACCTATAGCCTATTGCCTATAGCCTATTGCCTATAGCCTTTAGCATATTGTCTATAGCCTATAGCCTATTGCGTATAGCCTATAGCATATAGCCTATAGCCTATAACCTATAGCCTATTGCCTATAGCCTATAGCCTATAGCCTATTGCCTATAGCCTATAGCCTATAGCCTATAGCCTATAACCTATAGCCTATTGCCTATAGCCTATAGCCTATAGCCTATAGCCTATAGCCTAGAGCCTATTGTCTATAACCTATAGCCTATTGCCTATAGCCTATTGCCTATTGCCTATAGCCTATAGCCTATTGCCTATAGTCTATTGCCTTTGCCATTCGCCTATAGCCTGTACCCTCTAGCCTATTGTCTATAGTCTATAGCCTATATCATATAGCCTATAACCTATAGCCTATTGCCTATAGCCTTTAGCCTATGGCCTATAGCCTATAACGTATTGCCTATAGCCTATTGCCTATAGCCTATAGCCTATAGTCTATTGCCTATAGCCTATAGGCTATAGCCTATAGCCTATTGCCCATAGCCTATTGCTTATAGCCTATAACCTATTGCCTATAGTCTATTGCCTTTGCCATTTGCCTATAGCCTCTTGCCTATAGTCAATTGCCTATAGCCTATAGTTAATTGCCTTTGCCTGTAGCCTATAGCCTATAGTCTGTAGATTGTAGCCTATAGCTTATAACCTACAGCCCACAGCCATCCAGGCAGGACATCCTGAATTTAATGAAAAAAAAAGTTTATTTCCTAACTTGAGACTTTGCTCTGATTTGGTTAAAAAGTTAAAAAGTCTTGACTTAAAGAAATGAGTTGAACATCTTATGACTTATGGCTGTGAGGAAGTCATGTCAGCTGTTTGGCTGTTGCACAGACAGGAATTAGTTGCTTTTGTAGTTTCTCACATTGATAACGTTTCTCTTTACTGTGACACATCTGAGGTATTTTAACACCCAAGCTATTTAAAAAAACATTTTCACCTGCTGCACCTCATGTTTGGGAATCTTTTGTAATTTTCTTGTTTAAAGGTTCCTGGCTTCTCAAAAGCTCAAGCACTAACATAGCTAGTTCAGGCTAACACTCTCTGAACACTGACTGCACTGGAGTTGTGTGTTTTCCCAGGGTTTGACCATTGAACCTGTCTAGAAATGAGAGTTTCTCTCTGCTCTGTTCACCAGGCCAGATGATTGTTCTTCCCCTGATTCTGAAGGACCAGGTTTCTAATTCAAGTCTCAAGAAAGGATTTAGCAAACAATGCACAAGTCTTTTCTCAGGAAGCTGTGGTCACATGGACTTTTTAGAAATGTATGTCTTTTTGTTTTATTTATCTGAAACTTTGAAGCCAAATTTTTCTCTTTTTTTTTTACGAGCACACAGTGTTTTCACAGTATAACATATAAAAGGGAACACAGAGCTTTCAATTTTTTACTGCATGTTTAGTAAAAGCCAAATTGTTCAGCTGATGCCAAAGCAGAGTGACTCCACCAAACAGAGCCCATTGCTGTGGTTTGAGCTGATAACTGCAATGGTTTAAAATTGAAAGCCTCATTTATCTATTGAAGTTCGGTTTGGATCATTTATCATGGCGTGACTTTCATCAAACTGGTCCAGAGGTCCTCGCTGTGGCTGGCTCCATCTTCTTCATGGTCACCTTGCAGGCTGGATGTTCGTACTTTAAGCATTTCTTGAGTACCAGATTTAAAGTCCAATTGATAAAGAAAGAAAGAGAAAAAAAACACAAATCAGTTGTTTCTCAGTTGCTCAAATATTTTACAACTTCAGGCACCTTTTTCACATCGTTTTCAAAATGGATTTCATCTAATAACTGTTGAAGTTCAATGTTACCTGGAAAGGCTTATTTAAACTCACTGCTTCATCCAAGCACAGATCACTGAACTGGACGTAGATTTTCTATTTGATAATGTAGGCCCAAATCCTGCATTTAGGTTTTTGTTGTTTAGAAACCATTTATACATTAGGGAGTCATCAATATGCAATTGAAATTGAAGGGTGGATTTTGCATGACGCAGGTCATTGCTATCTGGTGAGGAAAAAGGTTTGCTAATGCTAGCCAAAGTAATGCTCATGATGGATGTACACAGAACCAGAGAAGTGTATGTAAATATATTTAATTCATACTTGATTTATAATATCTTGCATGTGACATACAGGGTAAAAGTTCTTTGACACTTTTCTTGTTTATGAAGACAAACACTATTTTAAGACATGCATCCTGAAAAGTTGCAAAAAAAAAAAAGGCAAAATAGAACGACTTTCCCTTCTTGTTGCTATTTATGTATATTTACCGTCTCCTTGCACAGTAGGATTTTTATTGTCTAGAAAAAAAGCTTAACATATAAGTACAAACACCAAAAAGTACATTCAAACAGAAAGACATATATACTGAGCTGTTCTCCTAATCAACCTGCTGGTACAAACACTGAACAGTGGTAAGGTCAGTTCTCTGGTTTTCAAAGTACGCACTAAAAAATGTACTTTAAGGTACATTAACAAAAAAATATACATAAACCATTGGAAATGACTATTATCTGTAATACATAAGAAGATCGTGACAAAATGCATGTAAAACCTGTTTGGTTCAATCCAAACTGGCCTGTTTATCATGCAAAGAAAATCCTGCCAGGCTCTGCATTCTCCTGTCAAATTGGCTTTTTTGTTATTTATTATTTTTATTTCATTTTATTTTTTGGATCTGCAGCTTTTCAACATCTTGTAACATTCTAGAAGTCATGAAAGCCATAATGTTCACCAGGGCTGAGCCAAAGCTGAACACAACACCGTGTCTCAGACTCCAGCTGTGGTTGGAGTCCCGCCAGAGCTCTGCTCCTCATCACCACCACCATCGTCATCATCGTCCGCCGTGTTAACCCGGACCAACTGGAAGGCCCCTGAAGGAGACTGCAGGTCTCCGCCTCACTTCTTGTCGCTCACAGAGCAGTCCGCAGCTACGATGTTCTGGATTTCTGAGATCTTCACCTCCTCCTCTGGGATCTCCATGGCGACGGGGATGTGCACCTCGTATCGGATCTTCTCAGCCGAGGAGCTGCGGCTCGACAGCTTGTCCAGCTCCTCCTCGATCTCAGAGAGGCGCTCGGCCACGCAGTGGGCCGTGAGACGGGCCTCCGGGTCGTGGTCCCAGCATTCCTTGATAGTGGTGCAGATAGCCAAAATGCCCTGCAGAGGGAGACGTAGAGCACACATCTGAGAATCTCTTCCTTTCTCTGTTCCGTTTCATTACAGAACAAATGGCTGGTGAACCAGAGAAGCGTGCAGCTTCTGAGCAACTCATCTTTGAGTGCAACTGAACTCTAAATCGGGAGTGTCCAACGTGTGGCCCGGGGACAATTTGTGGCCTTTGGAAGAATTTTGTGTTCTGACTACAGTCCAACAATGGTATAAATTTGGCCCTCCAGTGGGCATTTTGTCTTTTTCTTAGCATAAGAATTTGAATGAAAATTTGATCAAATCTCGGAAAATATTACATACAACGTATTTTTCTTTTAATAGCTGTCTAATTTTTTAAAAAGAATTTTAATTTCATAATAAGTAGGGCCATTAAAATCAATTGACTTTACTCAAAGCAAATGAATTATTCTGTCTAACATGTTCTTAGTTTTGTAGCTAGGAAGACATTTTCTGGACTACATAAAAGAAAAAAAAAAATGTGTAGAAATTCAGGGCAAAATGCCGCTTTGCATTTTAAGTTGGAAAATCAACATGGTTCCTGAGTACTTTGGGATTCAGGCTCATGTTGCAAAGAGTTTGAACAGTTTGCTAAGTAGAACAGTTTGAATCAGTTTTTCTGATTGCAGAAAAACTGCCTGAATCGGTCATTAGGGATGACATCTTTATGCTTCTGTTCAAACTGTCACATTTTTATGTAAATTTGTTTCATTCTTAGTAAACAACAGTGAGTACTGCAGCTGAATTTTTCTCAAAGTTCTTGAGATAATGACTGTCTCTGAACGCCACTGTATTAATGAATAAAATCATCATTTAAAAATGCCTTTTTGTATTTACTTAGATTATTTTTTAACCTTGCCTAAAATGTATTGATGATCTAAAACAAGTAAGGAACAACAACAACAAAAAAAAACAATCTGAAGACATATGCAAAGAAAAAACATTTTTCTCTGTCCTGTTTACAAAGACACACATTTAATTCTGAAACATGCAGAATTTACCTCAGTGTTCAGCCACATTTATTTACTTTAGATTTTGCTTTGTGCTCCAGCATTGTTTATTTTAAATGTATTTTCTAACTGCTGTTGCAGTTAAATCTAAATC